AGAAAAGCATGGGAAAGCGTGGCTTTTCCCTCGCAGGATGGGAGAGTTTCAGCCTGCAAGGGGCTGCTTGGAGCCCCCCATGCCCCGCACTCCTGGGGGCAGCGGGTCAGGACTGGCCATCGATGTTTACAAATGGGCCCTGGTACACAATACATTCCCATTCTGCAACCACAACAGCCCTGTCCAACCCAGCCTGGACAAACCCATCACCTAACCCCCTTGTAAGACTGCCGTCAACCCTGGCGCAGCCCAAGACGGCAGGGTGCAGCGTCACATATAACACCCTATATATTTTTCTCCAATTAAAAAGAAACTAGAAGCTTGACTAATAAGCTAGGGGCCCAGGGCTGTATCATTCAGCTTAAGAGAGAATAGAACATTATTGAGATGGGAGTTAAGTTGCTATATCATCTATTATGTATAAAAAACCCCCACAACAAACCAGGCAAGAAACAAGCAAAAGATGCTGCTTCATTAGCCCTGCTGTCGTTAGAATTAGACGTACACCTCCCTTTTAGACTCAGAAAACAAATCTAGCCTTCTCCAGCATCTTGACAGGGCATCCAGCGCGTCACTGAAAGTTATTTCTGTGCCTGAATTGATCATTTTAGCTAGGCAGGGTAGCTGCATCTGGGCAGGGTCAGTTAGCCCGAGTTAACATTCACCTCGCTGGGGTCACCTAACCTCAGGGGTCTTCCCGCCTAGAGCAGGGGGGCTGGACCTGATGATCTGCAAGGTCCCTTCCAGCCCCTAACATCTATGAATCTGTGAATAAGACCACACCTGAGATAAAACAGGGCATTAAGGATGAGAGAAGGCTTTTTAGTTAAAACTAAAAAGAGCCTGCAAGGCTGTGGCATAGAAGAGAGCGATTACCGGGACTGGCTAACAGACAGCACCGTGGCAGAAGAAAGGCTAGCAAAGCTGAATGTGGAGGTGGGGATATAATATACGAGTAAATACGGTAAAGCGCACACATGGGGTGCTGAGCGTGGAGTTGGGGGTGCCCCAGCGAAGGCACCTCCGGGGCAAAGCGGGGCCACACAGATCAGCCGTCCGTGCAGGCGGAAAGGCTGGTCAATGCCAGCCCCAGTGCGGGAGGCAGCGCCGGGGGGGCATCGTCCCAGCTGACGGGCCCCTGCCGCGTCTCCGGCAGGTATTCGGAAAAAACCAAGACCTACAAAACGGGCTGCGGCTTATTCCTCGGCGCGATCTTCCAGATGAAGGAATGCAGCCTGCGGTACCGCTGCATCTGCGAGAAGATCAACGACTGACCTGGGCTTTGCAAAGTCCCCCACAGAGAAGCGCGTGCCCCCTTCTGCTCCCCCCACCCCGGGAAATTCGACAGAGTTTTATGAACCCAAGCATTAAACCACAATGCGTGGCCTGGCGGGCTGTGGCGGGCTGCGTTTCCCTGTTTTCTTATGACTTAGGATCACAGGAGAGTCGGGCTGGAGGGGACCTCACAACGTCATCTAGTCCGATCTCCTTCCTGGGACAGGGTCGCCCCCATCCAAACCCCCCCAGACACGTCTGGGTCCCACCTGGTCCACCCCCCAGCTCTGTGCCCAGTGATAGGGGCCATTGCCCACGGACACCAAGAGCCCCCAGCCCTGGCCCAGGTGATGCTGGGGGTCGAAGGCTGGCAGTGCCCTGCTGCTGCCGGCGGGGTTCAATGCTGCACTGGGGCAGGAAGGGATTTCCCCCCTGCTCACACTGGTGCAGACTGGGGGGGGGGTTGCCTTCCTCTGCAGCAGGGGCATGGCCTCAGCCTGGGCTCTTTACAGCACCCATGACCCCCCGGCAGCAGCAGGACGTTGGCTGCTGCAGCCCCCCTGCACCCCAGTTAGGTCTCATGTTGGGGGGCAGGGAGCTGGGGGGGCCCCACAGCAGGTATGATAGCCCCAGGCCTGGGCTGGGTGAGATACCCCAGGGCTGTGGGGGGACTCACAGGGGCCTGGCAGGTGACACGGCTGAGTGCAGCGCAGTGCAGTGACCTGGAGAAGTGGGGCTGTGCACCCTGCAGTGATGGGGGTGTGCAGTGCAGTGAGCTGGGGGGCAGTGCACGGTGCAGTGACGGGGGGGCATGCAGTGCAGTGAACCCAGTGGGGGGTACAGGGCCAGCTGCCCTTGGGCTCGCTCCCCCACTGCCAGGGTTGCCCTGGAGCCTGCACCCCCCAGCCGCCGCAGGGTCTGCACCGGGGATTCTCAGCCCAGGCTCCCATGACATCACTGGCTGCAGCAGTGAGGTCACAGCCCTGCAGGCAGTGAGGTCACAATCGTGGGACCTCGCCTGGCAACCCAGGGGGATGTGAGCTCGGGGGGCGCGGAGGTAGGGGGGTCCATTGGGGGACCCCACAATGGGGCTGGGGGGCAGGTCGCCACCCACACGCCGGGAGTCGGGACGCCTGGGTTCCCTCCAGCTCCGTCCCCCTCTTTGTCTCTCCCCCACCACAGACCGCAGCAGTGAGACCCCCCCACCCCAT